CCCCCAATTCCTCAGTTGTTTCCTTCTGCCCAACTGGCTCTTCCAACTTGGTCACATTCTCCAGCTCAGGCAACTGCTGTTCAGGAAACTCTTCCTTAGCTAGTACCTCCTCTTCTGTCACTTCACTTTGTTCAACAGACGTCAGCTATCCGAGAAAAGGAGGGAGGGGAGGAAGGAGGAGGATACAGAAATAAAGAGGCAAAAAGTATGTGATAATTGTGATGGTAACTGCCAAACCCTCTTTTCCTGGAATCATCCAAAGAGCATCTAGTGGGCACGAGGCCCGTTGGCTTGGCTGGGGGAGTGCCCACGTGTGGCTTTGCCACGCTACGTCCCGGGGTGTGGCTGCCCCTTGCTGAGCTCGGGGACTGAGCCTGTGGCCCAGGCCTGGCAAATAGGACCCTGCCCAGGACATCTGCTGGGACTATGAGAAGTAGGGGCTTGCTAAGCGGGGAGGGTGTTTGTTTAGTGCCGCAGGGCAATCGCTGGCCCTCCAGGTGGAAGCGACTCCTTGGAGATGAAGTCAGCACCGAAGAAAGAGGTGGGAGACACAGACAGTGTGAGCATCTGATGCGCCAGGCCTGGTGCTCTGCCAGGTGTGGGGGATAAACCTCTCTGTTGTTTAAGCCAGAGAGTCGTGTTTCTGACATGGTGACGGGAAGGGCCCTCACTAATGCACACGGCACCTTCCAGGAGGGGCTCGCAGAGCATGAGTGGAGTGAGGGTGGAGACTGGCATCCCCCTGCTCAGGAGAATGATGTCATCAGAGCGCGGGATCCCGCTAGGACACCTGGTCACCTGCTGGGGACAGGAGGCTCGGGGTGCAGCCTGGGGAGCCCCGAGCGGCCTTGGAGCCTCCGCCCTCCCTGAGGTCTCTAAGTCTGCCATCTGCTTCCTCAGCTAAGTGCCCTGACTGCTTACCCTCTATCTCCATGGGGCACATGGTCAGGGGCCCTCACCACTGCCCTAGCCATTGAGCTCCTCCTGTTCTGTGAGATATAAGAATCCAGGGGTGCTGTTCACCTTACCTCATCTCCCTCCTCAGTCCTGGCCTGGATCTGACTTTCCAGGAAGTCAGAAAAGCCCTTCACGGTGTGTTCTCCCGTGTACAGTACCGCCTGGGGAGAAAGCGGACAGTCAGGCGCAGCCTCGCCTGCAGGAGACGGGGATCGCTGCATGGATGAATGGGTGAAATTCCCAACTGCCTGCGTGCTACGGGCAGGCTCCTTGGCCGGTGAGCCCCATTGCCAAGGCTCCAAGGTAAAGATAAAAACCCCGCAGAGGGCGGGCCAGGGCCACCTGCAGGAGCTCCGCTCTGCCTCTGGCCTCCTCGCAGCACTGCGGTCTAGCTGCTAACTCTCTGACTCCCTTCCCTGCCTGCAGCATGCAGGTCACCTCGCCGCCTGGGGCTGCTAGAGGACTCAGTGGGTTCCTGCGTGGAGAGTGTTGAGGGCGTGCCTGCTCGCAGTGAGCACGCTCCACATTTGCTATTCCTGTTATTACTACAAGAGGAGGAAGAATAGCTCCTAGTTTACATAACCTCCGGCACATGCTGCTGCTCAGCATCGCTCCTTCCCTTTCTCTTGCACCTTTAATAGGATGAGGGAGCTGCTCACCGCCCACTGGTCGGCTGAACAGTTGTCAGCCACCGGGAGGTCTGCGGCAGAGCAGCCTCGGATCCAGCTCACTTCCCAGGACTCCCCACCCTCACCTGCTGCACCAGGAGCACGGCACGCCCTTCACGGGAGGGGCACCTTGGCTGTAATTCTTTGATTGACACCTGCCCCACTGGGCCAAACAGCATGGAGAGTGTTCCTTGAACACGGATGTCATTCGCTGACTATGATACCGAAGTGTCAAAGACAGGGATTGTTTTTCTCCCAGCATTCCTCCTTCTTCCAGCAACTGCACCCCAGCATTCATGTGGCAATTTCCCCCTAGAGTCTAGGTGCCACAGGGACCATAGAGCCCGGGCCTGACCTCTCCAAACCCCCGCATGCACTGGGCCACAGTGATGGGGTCAGAGGTCAGCAGCCCTAAGCTGGGCCAGTGACAGTGAGTCTTAGGACCACTGTGGGAGCAAATGGAAAACGCTCTGCGCAGGAGAGCAGCTATGCCTGGAGCTGAGCACGAGGCTGGCTTGGCAGCAGGCAGAGCTGGGATAGGAGAAACTGCATCATGAGAACCACATGGCCGGTTCCCAGTTCCGAGACCCCGGAGCCCTCACTTGCTGCGAGTTGGCGGGGAAGAGCCTGAAGAAGGGGTGCCGGTCCAGGTGCACCAGCTGAATGTCGTTTGCGGTGACGTCGATCATGGCGACGGTGACTGTGGAGTGGTTTCGGTACTTCATGCCCAACTCCTCCAACACGGGGAACAGCCCTCTGCTCTGGTTGCACCAAGGCGCGTCTGCAAGGCAAGGGCCGCACTGAGGCCACAGCCCACCTCAAAGCTCCCGGAAACGCAGGCCTGGTCCTAGCAAGGCTCCGTGGCTTTGAAATCGCGCCCCCTCTTTATCGCAATGGCACGTAGGCCATTTACATCTCAAGCACGCCACCTGGGCACGAGTAAAAGCCTGCCCTTCCACCCGACGCCAGCACTGCCCATGCTGGGAGGTTTCCTCTGCTCTTTGTTGCCTTTAGCATAGCTTTCCACTCCAGTTGAAGCAGAAAAACAAGAAAAATATTTACACTAGATGCTCTGCCAGAAAGTGTGTATGTGTGTGCATGTGTGCATGCCTGAGAGTGTGTGTGTGTGTGTGTGTGTGTGTGTGTTGTGTGTGTGGTGAGCTCAGGAGTTTTCCTAGCCCCACGTCATCTAGTCCTGTGGTCGGCAAACTGCAGCTTGCAAGCCACATGCTGCTCTTTGGCCCCTTGAGTGTGGCTCTTCCACAAAATACCGACTTCTGCGCATGTGCCACAAAGTTTCAATTGCACTGTACATGCGCACCCGCACGTGGTATTTTGTGGAAGAGCCACACTCAAGGGGCCAAAGAGCAGCATGTGGCTTGTGAGCCGCAGTTTGCCAACCACTGACCTAGTCAATTAACCAGAGGAGTGCAAGTTACAGGCAGGCTGCTCTGATGTGAACCAGGTGCCACCCTGCCTCCTGGCCCCGGGGAGGAGATGGCGGAGAAGTGAGCAGGAGGTGGTGGTCAGTACAACCGCCCTGAAAGAGGTGCCGCCGGGCTTCCTCATGAGCAGTTCACGGAGCTTTGAGTCTGGCCCAGGCACCTCGTCCTCAGGAGGGAAATCGGGGACCGGCTTCGAGACGGAGAGGTGATCAGGCCTCGCCTTCTCTCCTTCCATTGAAGTTCTTTTCTCCACGTGAGGGGTGGCCTCCGTGGCCCAGACACTGCATTTGGTCGATCACCCTCCATTTACCAGCCAGACACCTCCAAGACCGCCTGCCCTCGGCAGCACCCGCCCTCCTCACTCCTCAGGAGCCCCTGGGCCCTGCATGGAGCAGGAAGGAGCATCATGGCCACATCCCAGGGGACCAGTCTAGCAGCCCTGCTTCCGAGAAAATGCGGCTGCTTTTGCCTGTTCCCAGAACCAATGGGCATCCGCAGGGCTCCAGGCTCCGGGCAAGCACAGCAAGGCCACCCGCCTCTCATCACAGGCAGCAGGCCTTGAGCACCCGCCTGCGGGTGAGAGTCCACTCCAGTGAGACCTACAGGCCTTGACGATGCCAACCAGCCCTTAGCTCTCCCTCCTGGGAGTGATGGCATCAGAGCTGGCTTTGAACTTCTGCCTGCACCTTACTGTGTGACCTGAGGAATGTGACTGACCTCTCTGAGGCCGGCTTCCCTGATCTGGATCATGGATGGATCCACCGAACCTCCCTAAGACGCTTGTTCTGAGGAGGAAATGAGTGTGGAAATAGCAAACTCATGCCTGGCTCGTTGTATGGGCTCAATCAACAAAGCTTCATCAGTTACATACATGGATGTATGAGTACCTGCACTGTCACCCTTCTCTGTGCCTCTGGGGGGAGAAGGTCCCCAGCCTTGGATGTCGCATTAAAATGAGAAACAGTGAGGAAAAGGCCTTGTCCGTAGATGAGCCTGGAAACTAAAGAATGATAACAGCAACAAGAGCTCTCATGTATCCGGGCTGACAATGCCAGACATGCTCAGTGATTTCCACGTATGATGTGGGTCCCCAGATTGGACACACCACTCAGGGAGTTAAATGTAGCCACTCAATCAGTGACACAAACCAGAACCTCTGCTCCATGTGGCAGTGACAGCACAGGCACGGGGTCAGGCCCAGGTTCAACCCCAGTTCAGGTACTTATTCGCTGCCTGTAAAGTGGGAGCAATGATAGCAGCTCCTTTCAGAAGCATGCTGTGAGGATTGAATGAGAGCACGTGAGCAGGCCTATGTGTGCAGCATTCAAGCATGTCAGCCATCAGCGCTGCCCTCATTAAAAGCCACAGGCCTGGCTGTGTGGCTCAGTGGTTGAGCATTGACCCATGCACCAGGAAGTCGAGGTTCAATTCCCGGTTACAGGCTCCATCCCCAGTACTGGGCATGCAGGAGGCAGCTGATCGATGATTCTCTCTCATCATTGATGTTTCTCTCTCTCTCTCTCTCTCCTTCTCCCTTCCTCTCTGAAATCAATAAAAACATATGTTAAAAACAACGAAAGCACAGGCCTGGAGTATGTGGATGGAATTTCACACATTCCAAGAATTTAATTTGGGGCCCAGTTGCATTGTTAGCTGATAGCATCTTGATCCAAACTCTTTGGAGTCTGAAGACCATCCTGGATGGTGCTGAGGTAGACCTGGGAGGTTTGGGTGCCCAAGAATTGAGGAACACTTGACAAGTAACATCCGGCCCACACCTCCCGCAGCCTCTGCGGAGATACTCACAGAACATCACAAAGACGTCCCTTTCCTTGTCGAAGGCCACGGGGTGGAAGTTCTTCCCGACGAGCTGCTTCACCGGCCCCTGGTCCCAGTGCGGCGGGACCTCCTCACTGGGATGATGTTCCTAGGAAGCACTTTGAGGGGTCAGTGGTCTCCCGAGAAGGGTCGGCAGTCCCACCTCCTCCCCACTCATTGCCCGCCCCCTGCCCTCCCTGGAAACCATGGAACATGTGCTCTTGTTCTTACAAGACCCTGGGAAAGCGTGTGTGATGCTGAGGTCCATCATGAGCTTGATGTCAGGCTGGGTTGTCCAGGGCAAATGGGGGTCAGAGGGCTGAGGAGGAGGCCAGGCTCCAAACAGTTCGAGAAGCAATTTGTTCGAAAACCAAATCATTTTTCCCATTAGAAATAATGTAAGTGTAATTCATCCTTTCCAGACCCCCAAATGACTCCCTGTTTTAACCTTTCTTATATACAGTGCATGTCTAATGTGCTGTTTGATCTATAAACAAACACTTCTTTCTTTACATGGATCAAACTGCCCCCTCCCAGCCTTAAAGGAATCACACTCAGCACTGGTTCGGGGGCGTCTCGGGTCAGCATGCGGCATCTTCGTGTCACAGATCACTGCCTCTGAAACGCTGTCAGGGCTCACTGCTTCCCCTTTATCCAAATCAACAACAGTTTTTCTACCCCTTCAATTGCCTGTGGTCGTTGCTTCTTTCACACCCTGAGCAACAGCAGCACTCTTGACGGCCTCTTTATGTTTTAAAATTGTGCTAATGATTGAAGTTTGGTTCAACAGCAGAGACATTTTTTCTGTGAACAATTTGGTCGAGAAGGAATTGTTCGCGATGGGAGATGTTGGAGAAAGGCAGTTTGCCTGTAATTGATTCTTAGAAAGCTTAGATGAGAGCTAGCTTCATGTCTTTAATACCTTGAGTTTGTTCCCCCACAAAATGTTAGCTGTCCCCAATTACACCGAGAATCAAAGCCAAGATAACTTATACAACCGATGTCATCACACCCGGTTCTGCCCGCTCCCCAAGCTCATCACCCTCATCTGTGCTTTTGTCAGACATATCGGTCTTCCATTCCCCCAGAGGGCTGGCCTTCCTCCCGCCTCAGGCCTTCGCTTTGCTGTTCTGCAGGGAGAGCCGCCCCCAGGCTTCATTCACCCCTCTGCTCCCCTCTCTCACTGGTGAACTCGGATTTATCCTTCAGAACTACGCTAAGGGAACCATTCCCTGACCTTCCCAAGACCAGCTCAGTGCCTGGTACCACACACTCTCATAACACTTAGTGCTGCTCCTTGTATCACTTATACAACGTTATTACTCATGTTCATCTTTCTGGTATTTGGTTAATGTGTCTCTACCACACGAGGCATTTCTTCCTTCCGCATTGGGAGTCCACTGCTGGGTAAAAACTAGGACCTCAATGAATAGTCTGTGAGTGAAGGAAGGAAACAACAAGCTCAGCTCTTGCTTCTCTTTGGAGGAAGTGGTGTCAACCTCAGAACATACATTTTCTCTACAAACATTGCTTTCTGAATACGTCTTGAATCCACACCCTTCTCTTTGTCTGCACTGCTACCAACCTAGTCCAGGTAGCCTTCATCTCCCGCCTAAAGCCTCTCACAGCCCCTAGTGTTCTCATGCATCTCCTCCTAACCCTCTCCACACCTTTATTCTCCTACCAGCAGTTCTGCCTTCCCACTGCTCTTAGGATATCAGATCCCTCATATGCTTACAAGTCATTGCTGTCTGGCCTTTGCCCAGCTCAACAAACTCCTCTCCCACAATGCCCGCCCTCCTCCCCACTCCAGCTTGTGGAAAGGACTTGAAGATTCTTCCCAAAAGAGCACAAATGGTGTGAGGACAGGGCATGAGAGATGGGAAGTGGTGACCATGATGGAGACTTGTCACCAGGGAGAGCTCCTAAGTTACATGAAGGATGTTCCTTTCTAGCCAAGGGCACAAGAGACCCTGTTGGCCCTTGACAGGGAGATGGGCACCTCTGAGAGGTAACCAGAGGGAAGAGAGAGAGAACGAGCAGAGCTCCAAGTAGGCTTGTGGATGTGGCGCTGGAAAGTGAGGGGCCCTCCCTAAAACCTTCTATTTTCTTACTGATCTGAATAGAGTGCTCAGCTGAGCCTGAGCGTGGAAAGAGGCGTGAGGAGACATAGGGCCCGGGATTGAGAGAATGAACTAAGAGGAAGTTACACCGAGCTGTCAGGATGGTTCTCAGTGCCTGTGGGAGGTTTGGCTTGTGATTCCAAGAGGCCAGCCTGCCTCACAGTGATGCTCATTTCTCCAGCGCTGGCCCGCAAGCTTCAGCCAAGCTTGTGGTTTTGCCTGGTAAATGCTACAGGTGGAGAAGAGGTGGGAGGTGGAGGGATAAAGGAGTGAAGAGAATCGGCATCAGAGCGAAGCACCCTGGAGTCCAGGCCCACAAAGGGGGCCGCTAAAGAGCGTGTGCGATGGGATCAGGAGCCCGGAGACCCTGTGGGCTCTGGGGAAGGGAGCTAGGAGGACGGAAGCTGGAACTCGGCTTTCAGAGGGAACGCCTTCCCCCAAGTGTGGCGTAGAGCACGGGGCTTCCAGGGCATGGGCACACCAGTTATGGGAGGAGAGAGAGCAGGGTTTGGACACTGACATCCTGGAAATGATGGCAGAGTCAGGGTGGAGGGCAAGTCTGCAGTGAAGAGCGAAAGCCCCGAGAGTAAAAGGGGGATGATCAGAGAACAGCAGCAACAGGAGGCAGGAGCAGATCAAGTCCACAGTCACGGGGTCCGGAGAACCTGGGGCAGGGCGTCCTGAAGGCAGGATGAGGAGACGTGACCCGGCAGAGGCACGGAGGACACCAGCCTGAGACTTGGCCCAGGACAGTGATGGCGAACCTTTTGAGCTCGGCGTGTCAGCATTTTGAAAAACCTTAACTTAACTCTGGTGCCGTGTCACATATAGAAATTTTTTGATATTTGCAACCATAGTAAAACAAAGACTTATATTTTTGATATTTATTTTATATATTTAAATGCCATTTAACAAAGAAAAATCAACCAAAAAAATGAGTTCGCGTGTCATAGGTTCGCCATCACTGGCCCAGGACAATGTGCTTAAGAGAAGACAGCTTTCCCCTGAGGGCTGCAGGGGACGTGGCATCTGTGGGGACGTAGACAGAAGCCGCAGAGCAAAGGTCACCGTACACGCTGGTGAGCCTGGCAAGTTGCTCCAGAATACTTTTAAAGAATGTCACCAGTGCTCTCAAAAGTGTCCCCATTTAGAAAATAAAAGCTGCGGCCCCCTAATCCCGCAGGCGGCTGGGGATGGGGCAGGTGCTGAGGAGGCAGCGGGAGGCTGTCCTGCGGCCGCGGATGCACCACTCCTGCTGCCTCTCCTGCCTTTCAGCAAAATAGCCCCTGTCCAGCCTCCCATCAAGGTCCCGAGCCCGTGAGGCTGAATCCTGAGTACTTCCTGCAGCCGAGCCCTCTCTGTCCCCAAGCAAGCCCTACCCCCAGGCCAAGTGTGGGGAAGCACGGGACTCGGTTGGAAGGTCTGTAAGGAGGATTCTCCCAAAGGTCAGGGGCCTCTGAGGGGACCTTGCCGAAGGCGGCAGCCCCTGCCTTGACTTTTCCTAACAAGTCCAATCCCCAGGGTGTTTTGCTAGAATCTCTATGTTTAGTCTTTAAGAACTGACCTTGTAGAAGTATATACTTTCTCAAGGATGCTTACCCTGCTGATTGTATTTAGAGGTTAATTTGAGTTCAAGCTGTTGTTACAATAAAAGCCAATGAGGCAGGCAAACAGGACTGCTTTTACGACTAAAGTAAGAGTCCCTTAGCTTCGCTTACACAGAAACCTGTGTCGGAGTGATCTGTTCATCCGCCGCACAGGGTCTGCCGGTCAGCCCGGCAGCCAAGGAAACCTCTTACATCAGAATCCGAAACAAGGGTGTCAGCCCTGGGGGAGCCTACATTTCAGTGGGTAATCCTGCCAAGGAAACGCCTTTACTTTGAGTATAAAGAATGGATAGTGCAACTATAGGGTCAGGACCGATCAGAAGTTGCATAGATTAGAGGTGGGGATATGTGGGTATTTCCCCACATTGAAGCTGAGACTCACCTTTATTCTCCATCTTCATTCAGATGACCGAGCCAGCAGAATTAGGAAAAAAGGGGTGACTTTGAGGTTCTGGATAAACCTTCTTTAAGAACAAACTTACCTTGGCGCTTCTACGCAGGTAGCTGCGGCCAAATTTCTTGAGGTTTTGGAAGGTTATGCTCCCGAAAGGCATTTTGTACCTCGCATCAGAGCTTAAGTTCAGGATTTGGACGGATGGGACATTGACCTCTGTGATCCGGAAGTATTCAAAGATACGTCTGTTTCTGGGTTCGTCTGCATCCACCAGGATGAAGAGGATCTGTCAAGCGGAAAGGATGTGAGAGATAGGAGAGGCAGTTAGGGAAGGGGGTCCCTGGAGAGGAACGCATAGTGACGGGCGGGGACCACTCCAGGCCCCCAGATTGTCGACAAGACTGTTACATGACAGCCCTGGCCAGTTTGGCTCAGTGGATAGAGCATCGGCCTGTGGACTCAAGGGTCTCAGGTTTGATTCTGGTCAAGGGCATGTACCTTGGTTGCAGGCACATCCCCAGTGGGGAGTGTGCAGGGGGCAGCTGATCGATGTTTCTCTCTCATCGATGTTTCTAACTCTCTATCCCTCTCCCTTCCTCCCTGTAAAAAATCAATAAAATATATATATATTTTAAAAAGACTGTTACATGACAAGGGGAGGAGGAGAGGGGGCACCGGGTTGCTTTGAAACCTTGAAACTGACACCATGCAGGGAACAGGGGCAAGTGGCCAGTTGGGAAAAACACAGGGGGCAGGAGATAAGGAAGGGTCCACTCAGAAAGTGGGGTGAGCAGACAAAGAAGCTGCAAGCATTTATCACCCCCGAAGAGACTCACTGGACTAGGTTTGGTCCATTCTAGAGAGAAAGGGTTCCCCATTTGGGCCCCTCCCCAGGGGAGTCTGTATGCCCTTGCAATGAGCTTCCACACTTTTGCTTAAAATCCTTCATTCTGAGAATGTATTCTTCAGACTTCGTGAGACAAGAACCCGCAATGAGCGAGTCCCAGCTTGCCACTCGGGTATCGGAACCCAACCACACGTGTGTCCGCGGGTATTGGAGGGGAAGGAATTGAATCCCTTATGGAGAGAGAGAAATGGGGGCCGCGGTGGGAGAGCACAAACGCAGGGTCCACGGCACCCGGAGGCTTCCTACAGGCTCCCTTCCAGCAGGCAGGGCCCGCCCTGCGCCCTGTGCACTGCCTGGCACCCCATCCCCATGCCCTGTGCACTGCCTGGCACCCCATCCCCACGCCCTGTGTACTGCCTGGCACCCCATCCCCACGCCCTGTGCACTGCCTGACACCCCATCCACACATGTAGGACGTCAGGAGATCCTGAGCTTCCATCCCAGGTCCTTGAGCGAAACAAGAATTTCCCCTCTCTGTGCCGCGGTTTTGTTGTCTGTAAAGTGGTGATTTCATAGCTCCCACCTTATAGGGTGGCTATGAGAATTAAACAGGACCATGTATGTAAACGCTGCGTTCAGTGACTGGGAGGCAGAAAATGCTCAATACGTGTCAACTCGTTAGTATTCTAAGTTCCTTCATAGCAAGGACATGCGTGACTTCACTCATTCATTCAACAAACAGTCATGGAGCTTATGTTGTGGGGAAGGCCGACAGCAAATGAGGGAACAAACCGACAAATCCAGAGGGAGAGCAGTCAGACTGTGGTCAGTTCAATTACATCACAAACTGCCAAGCGTGACATGGTGTGAACCAGGAGGTGCAGGCACCAGCCACGGCGCTGTGCCCGCAGCATAATCCGGGGAATAACAGGCGGAATGGAGCATGAACCACTAAATAGGTTTGGGGCCTGGGCGCTTCACTCCGTGTTTATTTGGGGTTACAAAGTTTTTCATTGTTTTGTTTAAATTTCAGTCATTTTCTTCAAAGGAAAAAAAAACGCCTCTTGTAAAAATAAAGAGAAAAAGGAAGTACATCGCGCCCCAGTCTAGGTGGGTAGTGCAGGAGCACAGGTGGGGTGCTTAGGAAAAACAAGTTGGTTTTGCTAACGATGAGAAGGACCAGGCAATAACAAGCACCATTCATTGCACATGTGCCCATTGCCTTACATAAAGCACCTCTGATTCTTACCACAAAGCTCCCTTTCTACCGAGGTGACTGAGGCTGGGAGGTTAAGGAACAGCCCAAGTGCCCATCAAGGAGAGGATAAAAAAAGCTGTGAGACATTTACATCATGGAATACTCCTCGGCTGTATAAAAGAAGGAAATCTTATTCTTTGCAATAGCATGGATGCACCTGGAGAGCACTATGCTAAGTGAAATAAGTGACAGAGAAAGACAAGCACCACATGACCTCGCAGGCTCGGAGGGATTGAGTAAAACAAGAAAGAGAGAGAGAGAACTCATGGACATGGACAGTAGTGTGGTGATTGCAGAGGTGGAGTGGGTGGAGGTGGAATAGGGCATAAAGGAGATAAAAGGTGATGGAAAAATAAAATGAAAACAAATTTTTTTTAAGAAAAGGAAGAGTGAAGAAACAACTGACATCACACAAATACAAAGGACTGTAAAAAATATCGCAACCAACTATATGCCAACAAATGGGACAACCTGGGTGAAATGGACAAATTCGTACAAACATACAATCTTCCAAAACTCAATCAAGAACATCAGAAAACTTGAATAGCCCAATAGCAACTAATGATATGTAAGCAGTAAGGAAAGAAAAAAAAACTCCCAGCAAACCAACAAAAGTCCTGACCAGACGGCCTCACAGATGAATTTTACCAAACATTCAAAGACTAACACCTATCCTCCTCAAACTATTCCAAAAAATTAGAGGAGGGCCCTGGCCAACATGGCTCAGTGGTCAGGGAGTCAGGCCCAAAGGGTCTCGGGTTCAATTCCCAGCCTAGGGCATTTAGCTGGGTGTGGGTTCGAGGCGGTGAATGTGGGAGGCAACCAATCGATGTCTCTCTCTCACATCAATGTCCTCTCTCTCTCTTTCCTCTCTCCCCCTCTTCCACTCTCTCTAAAAATCAATGAAAAAAATAGCCTTGGGTGAGGATTAACCAACAAATAAATAAGAAAAAGGAGGAAGGAAGAAAGGAAGGAAGGAAGGAAGGAAGGAAGGAAGGAAGGAAGGAAGGAAGGAAAGAGGGATACTTCCACGCTATATTTAAAGAAAAGGAAGGCCAGCATTATCCTAATTCCAAGACCAGATAAAGACACTACAGGGAAAGAAAATTACAGGCCAACATCCCTGATGAACATAGATGCTAAAGTCCTCAACAAAATATTAGTAAACCGGATCCAGAAAAATATTAAAACATCAAACACTATGATCAAGTGGGACTTATTCTAGGGATGCAAGGCTGTTACAATATTCACAAATCAATAAATGTGATACATCACATAAACAACAAGAAAGATGAAAATCATATGATCATATCAATAGATGCAGAAAAAGCATTCAATAAAATACAGCACCCATTTATGATTAAAAACTCTAACCAAAGTGAGAATAAAGAGACCATACTTACCCTGACCAGTTTGGCTCAATGGATAGAGTGTTGGCCTGCAGACTCAAGGGTCCCAGGTTCAATTCCAGTCAAGGGCATGTACCTTGGTTGCGGGCACATCCCCAGTAGGGAGTATGCAGGAGGCAGCTGATCGATGTTTCTCTCTCATTGATGTTTCTAACACTCTATCCCTCTCCCTTCCTCTCTGTAAAAAATCAATAAAATATATTTTTAAAAAAAGAGAGACCATACTTCAACATAAAGACCATATACGAAAAACCTACAGCCACCATCATACTCAATGGGCAAAAAGGAAAGGGACAAGACAGGGATGTCTGCTTTCACCACTCTTATTCAACATAGTACTGGAAGTCCTAGCCACAGGGATCAGACAAGAAGAAGAAATAAAAGGCATCCAAATTGGAAAGGAGAAAATAAAACTGTCATTATTCACAGATGACATGACATTATATATAGAAAATCCTAGAGACTCCACCAAGAAACTACTAGATCTAATAAATTATTTTGGAAAAGTAGCAGGATACAAAATCAATATCCTAAAATCAATTGCATTTCTATACACCAATAATGAACTATCAGAAAGAGAAACTAAGAAAACAATCCCATTTACTATTGCAACAAAAAAATAAGGTAACTAGGAATAAATTTAATCAAGTATGTAAATAACCTGGACTTGGAAAAGTATAGGACATTGGAGAAAGAAACTGAGAAATATACAAATAAGTGGAAGCATATACCATGTTCATGGATTGGAATCATTAACATGATTAAAATGTCCATACATAGACAATCTATAGAATCAACACAAACCCTATTAAAATACCAATGGCATATTTCACAGATCTAGAACAAATATTCCAAAAATTTCTATGAAACCAAAAAAGACCCTGCATAGCTACAACAACCTTGAGAAAGAAGAACAAAGTTGGAGAAATCACATACCGGATATCAAGTTATACTACAAACTACTGTAATCAAAACAGCCTGGTACTGGCACAAGAACAGATTATATATATATATTAGAGGCCTGGTGCACAAAAATTTTTGCACTGGGGGGGGGGTGGTCCCTCAGCCCGGCCTGTGCCCTCTCGCAGTCTGAGACCCCTCGGGGGATGACCACCTGCTGGCTTAGGCCTGCTCCCCGGGGGATTGGGCTTAAGCTGGCAGTCAGACAACCCTCTGGCAGCCCGGGAGCCCTCAGGGGATGTACACTTGCCAGCGGGGAGCAGGCCTAAGTTGCAGTCGGACATCCATAGCGCTGCTGAGGAGGCGGGAGAGGCTCCCGCCACCACCGCTGTGCTGTAGCATCAGCCTGGCTTGTGGCTGAGCAGAGCTCCCCCTGTGGGAACGCACTGACCACCAGGGGGCAGCTCCTGCATTGAGCGTCTGCCCCCTGGTGGTCAATATGTGTCATAGTGACCAGTCATTCCCAGTAGTTCTGCTGTTAGGGTCAATTTGCATATTACCCTTTATTATATAGGATAGAGGCCTGGTGCATGGGTGGGGGCCAGCTGGTTTGGCCTGAAGGGTGTCCCAGATCAGGGTGGGGGTCCCGTTTGGGTGACTGGCCAGCCTGGGTGGGGGGCTGAGGGCTGTTTTCAGACTGGCCACACCCCCTTCAGGGTGGGGGTCCCCACTGGAGTGCCTGGCCAGCCTGGGTGAGGGGCTGAGGGCTGTTTTCAGGCTGGCCACAGCCCCTTCAGGGTGGAGGGTCCTGCTGGGGTACCTGGCCAGTCTGAGTGAGGGGCTGATGGCTGTTTGCAGGCTGGCCACAGCTCCCAGCCACCCAAGCTCCCAGTGGAGGCTGGCTGGAAGCAGGTATCTGGGATTTATTTATCTTCTATAATTGAAACTTTGTTGCCTTTTGCAGAGGCCACAACCAGCCAGGGCAGGCGGGAAGCTTGGCTTCCTCCATCACCTGGGCAACCAAGCCTTCTGCTTGCTCCAGCTTCGTGGCTGCCAGCCGCCATCTTGGTTGGGTTAATTTGCATATAGTCACTCTGATTGGTTGGTGGGCATGGCTTGGGGCGTAGTGAAGGTGCGGTCAATTTGCATGTTTCTATTTTATTAGATTATATATATATATTCAACCCATGCCTCTATGTTCAATTAATATTACATAAAGGGGACAAGAGCATACAATGGAGTAAAGACAGTCTGTTCAATAAATGATGTTGGGAAAATTGGACAGATATATGCAAAAAAATGAAACTAGACCACCAACTTACACCACACACAAGAATAAACTGCAAATGGAGAAAATCCCAGAAAGCATAGGCAGTAAAATCTCAAACATCTCTCATAGCAATATTTTTGTTGATATATCTCCTCCGTTGAGGGAAACAAAGGAAAAACTGAACAAATGGGACTACATCAAACTAAAAAATTTTTTCACAGCAAATGAAACCATCAACAAAGTGAAAAGAGAACCCACTGTAGGGGAGAACATGTTCACCAATGATACACCTGATAAAGGATTAATATCAAAAATATATAAAAACTTATCCAACTCAACACCAGGAAGACAAACAATACCATTAAAAATGGGCAAAATAGACACTTCTCCAAAGAGGATATGTAGATGGCCAATAAACATGAATAAAATGCTCAGTGTCACTGATCATCAGAGAGATGCAAATTAAAATGACAATGATATATCACCGCACACCTGCCAGATGGCGACCATCAACAAATCAACAAACAACAGTGCTGGCGAGGATGTGGAGAAAAGGGAACCCTAATGCACTGTTGGTGGGAATGCAGGCTGGTATAGTCACTGTGGGAAACAGTATGGAGTTTCCTCAAAAAACTAAAAATGGAACTGTCATTTACCTAGCGATCCAACTTCTGGGACTACATCCTAAGAATCCTGAAACACCCATCAGAAAGAATATATGCACCCCGTGTTCATAGCAGCACAATTTACAATAGCTGAGATCTGGACACAGCCCCAGTGTCCATTGGTAGATGAATGGATCAAACAATTGTGGTACCGTTACACAATGGCATATTACACAGCTTTAAAAAGGAAGGAACCCTTAACGTTTGTGATGGTAAGGATGGTCCTGGAGGTTATGCTAAGCAAAATAAGACCCCGAATACCTACAACTATTCGGGATCAGAGAAAGACAAATACCATATGATCTCACATATATGTGGAATCTAGCATAATAAACTGGTGAACAAAAGAGAACCAGAGGCATGGATATATGGGACAAACTGACAGATGTCAGAGGGGAGGGGAGGGGGGAAGGGGAAGACAGGATGAAAGAAGGTGAAGAGAATAGCCAAAGAACATATATGCATACCCCAGGGACAAGACAGTGATGTGGTTACGGCCAGAGGGAGAGGAGGGTGGAATCTGGGGAGAGGAGAGCAACAGGGAGTAAAAAGAGGGGACATCTGTAATGTCAACAATTAGAAAAAGAAGATTAAAAATTAAATAGCAAAGAATACATAGGACTGAAATACAAAACAGTAAATTGGTATGTAAATTAATATGCAACTTATGCCTGGCTTAATTTATAATCAGCGAGACAAGTAAATGGCATCAACACGTCTAGGGTCATCATCCAGGAGCCCCAAGAAAGAATGGTGCCATAGAACCAAGATAGTGGCGCAGGTAGACGCCAGTACTCACCCACAACCACATCAAAGTACAACTAAAACACAGAACAACCATCACTCAGAACGGCCGGAAAGCTGGCTGAATGGAAATTCTACAACTAGAGAAGTAAGAATAAACCACACTGAGGCTGGTAGGAGGGAAGAGGCACAGAATGGACTGGTCCAACACCCACATGTGACATTTTTTTAATAGGGAGGGCCTCCCGTGAGGAGCAAGGGGTCCCAGCCCCATACCAGTCCCCCAGCCCAGGGTTCTGGTGTTGGGAAGAGAAGACCCTGTAACTTCAGGCTATGAAAACCAGCGGGGATTGTGGCTGAGTGACAGGGAGGCTGCCAGATTCCCAAGTGTTCCTCTTAAAGGGCCAGCACATGAACTTATAAGGTCCTGCCTCCTCTAACCTCCAGTGCCAGGTGGCAGCTTTGGGGGAATCCAGGGACATACAAGGAGAAACTGGATGGTCTGCCATCAGGGCAGGAACTTGTGGCGGCTGTCTCCCAGAGAGGGGTGCTCACAGGGTCATTGTTCCTGTGCTGGTACCTCCCCCATTGCAGAACTGACTGGCAGCCATATCTGAGTCTCCATCAGCATGATCCACACTGCTCGATCCACCCTGGTGATTCCTTGAGACCCTGCCCCATCCAACTTGCAGCCCCACCCACTGTTTGCAGCTGCTTTTCCATATGAATGGCCTGTCCTGGCTCAGGCTTCAGACTTTGCTTAAATCTCTTAAACAAGTAACAGCTGGAGTCAGCATGCCCCAAGCCTATCAATAAGAGGCCCAAGACCCAGCACTAGCACCAGCCTGCCTTGTTCACAGCTGGGCCTCGTCTGGACATTCTGTAGCCCAATATAAGTAGCAGCCATCTGCAGATCTCTCTGTAGCTCCAGCCCAGTGGCCCCAGGCAGTGGCTGACTTTGCACCTTCCAAGAGGCCCCAAAGCCAATGCACCCGGTGGACAACTTCAGACCACACCAGATTACAACTTTTCACATCCACAGGGACACACTTAAGCCCCACTGAAGCAAGTCCTGCCCCATAGGGGTGACTCCTGCACAGCAGTTCTTCACTGTCATCGCAGCTGGTCCTCAGAGCCAATTGGCCTGGAGGTCAATTCCTCCCAGTGATGCCAACAGCAATCAAGGCTCAACTACAACAAGACTGTGCACACAGCCCACACGGGGGTGCACCTAGAGTGCCCAGCTCAGGTACTGGGGAGGCTAAGCCACTGGGCCTTACAGGACACCTACTACACAAGGCTACTCTGCCAATTCCAGAAGACATAGCAGAAGGAGAAGGAGAAGGAGAAGGAGAAGGAGAAGGAAAAGAAGGAGGACAAGGTGAAGGAGAAAAAGATAAAAAATATGACAATAAAATGGCAATAAATGCATATCTATCAAAAATTGAATCTAAAAATCAAAATAAATGAAAAATCTAGTGAATAAAATAAAACTGATGAATAAAATAGAATTAGCCTTAGCTGGTTTGGCTCAATGGGTGGAGCATTGGCCTGTGGACTAAAGGGTCCCAAGTTTGATTCCGGCCAAGAGCACATGCCCGGATTGTGGGCTCAATCCCTAGTCGGGGGCGTGAAGGAGGCAACCTACACTGATTCTCTCTCATCATTGATGTTTCTATCTTTCTCTCTCTCTTTCCCTTCCTCTCTGAAATCAATAAAACTACATTTTGGGGTAAAAAATAGAATTAGATGCATGCAAACATGGAACAGACTGACAAATCTCAGAGGGAAAGGGTGGGGGGAGGGATAGGAAGGGATTAGCCAAAGATTATATACGCATATATGCATTACCTATGGACACAGACAATAGGGTGGTAAGGCCTGGGGTGGGGTGGGAACCAGGTGGAGGGGCAATGGGGGGAAAAAGAGGAACATCTGTAATACTCTCAACAATAAAGATTTTTTTAAAATTAAAACAAAAATAAAGAATGTTGCCGCACAGACCTTGTTTTGGAACTCCTTCAAGGCCAGCTTGTAATGCTGCATTATCGTACCGAATGACTTGCAGCTTTTGGAGGCAAAAAGCAGCATGTGATTCCGGATGTGCAGTTCATAAATCAGATCCTTACTCTGGAACGACAAGGACACGGGTCATGCCCTGCCCACAGCTGCCCAGCTGCCCTTCTCCGGGGGAGCTCCACTCGCTGACCTCAGAGTTGTACTCAATGACGAAGCCTGTGAGGTGCTGTCGTATGACTTGATTGAGGACAAGCTTGTTGGTGCTGTCATTAATAAGCTCCTGGCGGCTCTCAATTCTCCCCTGGAACAAAAGGAAGCATTGGAGGCGGCAGCTCCCATGACATAGGCTCTTAACCTCTAGAGTGCCGGGGAGCGCGATCGCACTCCTGCTGTCTTTCCCCAAAAGTGCCGGGAGCGCTATGGCGCTCCTCCTGTGGTGTCACTATTAGATGCTAGTAGTCCACTATTGACAGATGGCACCTAAGTGCAGATTACTTATGATGCCAAATGTTTGTAGTTCTAAAATTGACCACTGGCATTTATCTGCCTAATTTTCATAATTTTTTTCCTAAACTGCTGTAAAATCAGCAAATATGCCTTGGCAATTTTAGCATATTTCCTAGGATATTGGTTGGCACTCAAAGGGTTAATAAACAAAAGGAAGCCCCTGGTAGCAATATAATCCAATAATCCAGGCACGTCAGACTAAGGGGAGCGGGCGATTGGCCTGGGGGCCATGGGTATGTGGCAGCATGAAAATCTCTGAGCCACAAAGGCAAGGAGTGTAGTTGACTGACACCCCAGCTGCCTTGCTCTGAAGTCCAGCAGTGTCTCAGGCTGTGCTGAGCGGCTCCTGACCAATGACTGAATGTGTCAGGGGTATGAGGGCAAACCCATTTCTGGGACATGCAAGATACTCTGCTAAGGGCCTTTGATAACTTTTCTAAGAACTCCACTGTAGTCAGGGACTCCTCCTCCCTTCCCTCCTCCCTCCTTCCTCCCTCCATCCCTCCCTCCTTCCCTTCCTTCCCTCCTCCCTCCTTCCTCCCTCCATCCCTCCCTCCTTCCCTTCCTTCCGGATTTACTGAGCACCTGTCTGTGCCAGGGGCTGGGGTACAAAGGCAAAGCTAGCATCCCCAAGACCTCAC